TCCTTTCAACTGTTGATTCCCATTATGCGTTTTCCTTTATTAGTTCATACACTCACAATTTCGACGGAGAGACCCGCTTTACTTTATCCGTCCACTCTAACGATCACAATTACACTCGAAAATCAAAGTTATGAAAAGCGATGATGCGTCACGAGCCGAAATTGGAACTCGCCGCGGCGATATCGCTCGGGCGATACAATTTGCAATTGCGAAATTATCGGTTCTGCATTAGACCACATGAGTAATGATAAACAAGGCAGAAATAATTTAATCAGGATCGCGGCGCGGCGCGGCGGTGTGTCGATGCGGAATCGCACAACGTGCCGGCAGATATTTCGATGACTGGCGAGCCATTCAAACGGACTTCCGCGGTTCGCAAAGAGGAGAGCCGGGGGTGGAGAGGGGGGGGGGATGGTAGGTACCTTGAAAACACGTATCGCGGGGAGCTGCTTGCCTATCGCGGCTAATTACGCGTAATGCGCCCACCGGCCGCTTTGTTGTTACACACCGCGAAACTCGTTACAGAAATTTCACGAGTTTCGCGCGCGAGTTATTGCGATCGTGCGTTATACGCACTATCTCGCGCTTTAATCTCCGCGCCGACATTATCCTTCTCGTATTGTTCCGATGGGAAGTCTTCCTAGGGGAAGTCGAAGTTGAAATGCTAAGAGCGAGCGAGCGAGTGAACGACCAAGAGAGAGAGGGAGAGAGATATTATCCTCATCCCCACTTGCATGTGCGCTTCTATTATATACTACTATCCTCAGACTTAGGAGTAATGCATATTCTGCGTATATATGGTAGCTTTCCCGTAATTCTCACTGCCTCCCTCTCTCCCTGTCACCCCCGTGCACTTCCACAATTCAACTCGCGAATATCGCGATACATCACGCGGTAACGAAGTCCTTTGACAAGTCCCGCGGAGATTACGGGGGACTCGGGTTCCCGCGCCGCGTCGCACCGACCAGTGGGCATTTCTCGCGCGTATTTTCCGCTCTTTCGCGTCGCGCGCGACTTCCGCCCGCGCGCAAAGAAGTCCTGGGCAGAATACGGATGCGACGCGGAAAGCCGTGTTCCCCCCCCCCCCCCACGGACCCCAGTCTAAATTAATTACGACTCCAGATTGTCGACCGGAAAGATTTTTCCACCCCTCGGAAGCCTCGCGTTGCCACCAGCATTGCAGTTTGCTCGAGAAATATACGCGATGAGGATGATGCCAGAAGTGGCCCGGAACCGAAGGGGGTTAATCGAGGCTCTCACGGGCGCCCCGTACCGCAAACATTTGCCCCGAAATCCGCCGCGTGCGCGATTCGCTTCCGCGGCGGTGACCGCGCGGGGTAGCACTTCCGATAGCTGCGGCGTCGCTTCCGATAAGTTCCGTATTATCCTGCCGCGGGGATCGAAGTCGTGGGGAGAAACGGGAGCGCGTAGGAAGATATTATCCGTGTATAACAGCCCGCGCTATCTCTCTCGCCGTCGAGCAGCCACTTGACGTGCATATCTCAGGGGCTCGCGTGCCACGAGACGCGACGTGCGAATGTAGGAAACGTGCACGCTGTGGAAGGAGAGAGAGAGAGAGAGAGCAACCCGGCAGGGATTTGCATGGGACAATATCTCGTCTGATTTATCCCCCAGAGACCGGGGGTGGAAAAGGGCGGACGAGAGAGTCCGAAGGATTTATTTCTTCAGCGTTTCACGCGCCGCGCGACACGAAGAGATAAAGAGGGCACGACGAGCCTTCCTTTCTTCCTCGCGCCGCAAGAACACCCGGTGTATCATCGATATTGCGCGCCGAGCGGATCGGAGCGCATCGACGCGGCGCGCATGGCGCGCGCATTCGCGCCTTTATGGTCCTCACCGCTTGGTTTATCGGCTGAACACTTTTTCCGGCCTCCCCCTCGTGGGATTTACGGCCTGACCCGTAAAGTCCGACTCCACTTACTTTCGCGTCCCGCGTCCCGCCCGCCGGCGACTTCAACCTCGCGCCGCGCGCTCCTCGCAATCGAGGGTCGTGACTTCGCTCGGCCGCGCTCGGCCCGTCAGCAGATAGCGTCGTTCGCCGACGACTCGTCCGCGACACGTTGGCCGCGCCTCGCCGTCAACCTTTCGCGGCAATCTCGGTGAATCGTCGTAAAAATACTCGCCCCCATCGTCCCTTACTGTCGCTCGGTTCTAAAATGTGACTGTGCCCGTCACGACGGTTTAAATGACATTATCTGAAAAGCCATTTCGCCGCGATACAACAAGACTATTGTCTGTGTTACCTTGTAAAAGGTTTGCGCACTCGACGGACAATGTAACCGCCTCCCCCCGCTCCCGACAAAAGATTGCTGTCAAAGCGGGTTCCGACCGGCACTTTCTGAACTCTCGCGTATGCGTGATTTTGCGAGCGACTCCGAGGTCAACGCGATAACCGGCGAGGGCGAAGGCGACAGTGGGTTGGAACAACCGAACTGGATGACCGGGCTTTCAGGACCCTGTAATTTTCGTCCTCGCCCCATTACACTCGGACCCGGAGGAAAGTGGCAGCGATGATCCTGACGATTTGGAGACGAGCGGCGTAGGGAGTCGATAAACGCCAATATACTCCGGATATTCAGCCCCTTGATAAATTGCTCGTCGGGCCAATTGACTTGCTTGACGAGAAGAATTCGGAAGTGTCGCGTCTGACGTCACGTACAAATGTGTTCGCGCGATTTAATCGAAAAGTTACGATTATCTTTCGGATCGTCTTCCGACGTCGTTTCTATTAGTTCTTAAACAAAGCCACAGACCTAATCTCGATAACTCCGTATACATACGTGAGAGGGCAGGAGGAAACGGTGAAGTTAGTTTGAGACTTCATAGTTTGTCGTTAGATACGAATATATATATATATATATATATATATATATATATATATATATATATGCTCAGTTGTGACGAGAGTTTCATTCCGGTAAGTTCGCGCGGGTTTCCGTACAGTAATTACTTGTAAATCTCTTACGAATAACGGCAAACGCGAGATTAATTTCGCCTACGAGAACGTGTAGTAATTGCTGCCCTTGCAACTGAAGAAAGTATACAATTAATCGTCAAACTATTTTCAATTGTTTAAGTCAAGTCTGCATAAAGGCCGAATCAAACTAGCGATTGCCGACTCGGATTGGCTTGGAATTGGCGATTGACGATCGTCCTCTAGCCAATGAGAGTCGATTAAATCGCTGGCTGCTTCGCTCTCATTGGCTGGAAGACAATCGCCTATCGCCAATCGCCAATTGCTAATCCCAACCCAATCCGCGTCGACAATTTGAATTGGGATTGGCGGTCGGCAATTGTCCTCTAGCCAATGAGAGTCGATTAAATCGCTGGCTGCTTTGCTCTGGCGATTGTCTTCTCGCCAATGAGAGCAAAGCAGCCAGCGATTTAATCGACTCTCATTGGCTAGAGGACAATTGCCAATCGCCAATCCCGATCCAATCCGCGTCGACAATTGCTAGTCTGATTCGGCCTTAACGCGAGTGTCGTTATCGAGCGAGTTTCGAAGATAATATTACGAGATATAAAATTGAAAATTCCTCTCGATATGATTTGTATTATGTATGATTTATAGACACACGTTCCTCTCGAAAATATTCAAGGCTCCTAAAATAGGCTGGAAATAAATCAGAAAGCTGCAATCGAGCGGGTTAAAAGAAAATCAATGGCGCGCACTCGAGCGACTTAATTTCCCTTCTTGAGATTCCGCTGCCTTCGCCCACTTGTGTCCGAACTGTAAAAACTTTTATTTTGTTTCGCCAATTCTACGAACACCCGAATCAAACGTTTTAAACTTTATCGCCGCGCGCGCATACAATTGTATATGCAAAGCTGTTTTGTACGAAGGCGCATTATTTATACAGACGTGATTGAATTGAAATTGTTTCCCTTCAACGCCCCTTCAAGCAGACTAGAACTTCCTTTATAGTAATACTTGAAACGTTTCATCGGAAACTTGATTAAAACTGATACAAAGTTGTTGAGATTAATTGATTTTATGCTTTCGCGTTTCTAGCAAAGTCCACGAGAAGCTCCATCAAATTTAATGATAAACATCGCATTTAATTATATTCCTTTCTTTCGCATCTCACTCATTGTCAATGTACATTGTCAATATACGTGTGATGGGAATCAATTGTAATAAATTATCAAATTATAGGTACTAGCGTTTATAAAGCACCGTAAGAACGAGAATTGACCGATCCTTCCACATTCGTATATCCGAAGCGTTTGATTTAGAAAGAGATACCGAAATTTACCGAAAATCCGGTACGGCGGGTGAACAATACGAAGCCTTTTTTTGTAGCAACACACGTTGACACGGGTAGATATCGCTTTGTATTTCAATGTATCTCTCGCGGGCAATTTTAACGTATACCGCGCATTTTTATCCGCGCTGACATATTTACATGCGTTTGAAATTCTATTTGAAATGTCGGCGTCGAAACCATCCGAAAAGGCCACTCCTCGCGCAAGGCCGGCAATTTTGCCGATACCATCGCGAGAAAGACACACGGAGACGTATCGCGACCACAGACTTCTGTATACTACTAGACCTGCTACCTTCGAGCTGAAAAGTGAGGCAAAAGTTCCGCCATGTCCGTTAGTGACAGACCGATGCACACGCACTACCCCAGCAAACACCAAAGTTACAGTTACATAACATCAATACAAATGTAATATAACACATGCCATGTTATATTACATTTGCATCGATGTCATGTAATTGTTACTTTGGTGTTTGCTGGGACTTTATTTACCTAATATGTCATGGCGGAACTGTTGCCTCACTTTTTCAGCTCGAAGGCAGTAGAGGAAAGTCCCCTACTGTATGAGACAAGCTCCTAATATGAGGTAGCAGAGTTTCTGCTAAATTAATAGGCATCATCTGCCGTGAATTTATTGCCCTTAGGGTGAAATGACTTTGGCGATAATATTGAGGACTTTCGGTTGATGTACGACTTCATTCGCGACTCACCCACCATTGAGCACGTGGACGAGGACGCTGGCTGACTCGGCTGTGGATGGTGCACAGGTGTAATTGCCGGAATCGGCCGGCAGCGCTCTGCTGATCAGAAGACGCGACGTCCGCGTTTGCTTCTCCGTCACGACGCTAATGCCCCCGCGTTGGCTGTAGTTTATCACGTTGTCGCCTTTGTACCTGAAACATTGTCAAGAATCATCCGGAGAGCATTAGTTGATCGGATGTAAAATGAGATCCACTTGGTGCCAAAGGTGCAGAATCACTCCAGCACCCCCTTAAAAGAGGCTTCTACGTGCCTTCGTCGAATTATTGGACAAGGTGTACGCGATGCGAATTGCGCGCGCGAATGTAAGTATTTATACGCGAATAGTGTGGAAACACGAGAGAACACGTTTCCGTAGATCAGCGCAAGTGCCAAGATCTACGGGGTCTAAAAGACCGCCGCCTCCAAGGACCAACCCCGGCGGAGATTCACTTCATCGGAGATTCGTTTTTACGGGCGCTCGTGTTGAAATTTTTCGATAAAACAGATTCTATCGAATGGAGGTCATCGTAGATTTGGATTTCGCGAAACTCGGCGGTGCCGGGATGCACGCGGAACAAATTCAATCCGCGCAATCGTCAAGGGAGAACGCTCAAACTCACCAATAGATGAAGGATGGCGGTTCCGGCGTTTGCAGCACGATGCAGGTCAGATTGATGTCGCTCCCGCTTTTGATGTAGAGCTCCGAATTGCCGTTGATCTTTGCCTTCGAGACTGCGCACGGGGACAGAAACAAAGTTAAAGTGGTTTTTGGCCGAGGGGCGCACGGTGTGTCGAGTAAAGCCCGGGCCAAGAAGTATGATCGCAATTTCGTTTAAACCGCCGCAAAGCTGCAATTAACTGACGTCGAACCGCTCGGAATCGACCACTTAAAAATTCACTTAGGAAACAAACGGCTTCGGAAACTGTTATTGTAGCGGAGCGGTGAACTTGTACCCGCTTTAAAACACAATCCCACGGATCCCCATTCTTTCACACTGATCTTCTTTTCATTTCTATTAATAGGAATGGCGATCGAAATTTGGCGTCTTTTCACCCGAAAATTTACTTATTTTTGCCTCTAAATGCTTATCCTCGTCATAATCGCGATTATAATTTACTACCGTAACACTTTTACTTCCTTTTAACGCTTGAGAGAACTTGATCAAAGTCTAGTGGATTCAGTTGGACCTGTCGATTGAATCTCATCGTATAAAAAGGAGAGACATGCGCACGTACCTACTACGCTCAAGTTGAAAGCTTGACTAATTTTGGGCTCTGTCGAGACCTGACACTCGTAGATTCCGCTGTCTCGCACTTGCGGCGAGCTGATTTTCAGGGTCCACTCGTCGCTACCATCGCTGTGCAACGATTGGAAACGCTGGTCGTTTGTGTACGTTAGGATGCCGACAGTGAGGATATGCAAATCCCGCTGCCTGATCCACGAGACCTGCGCAATCAAGAGGTACCTGCTGTTATAGTAGCAAGATACACCAAACTGGACATTCAACCGAGAAGTTGAGTCGCGCGAATTCCGTGTCGTGAACGCGCCATCGCAGAGGGAATTTCTGATAATTGGACCAAAAATATTCTCGACGAACTTGTCATTTCACATGGTAGAAAAGGAAGGCAATGTCAAGTCAATCAAGGGTGGTGTATATAAATTAAGCTCGTATGCATGCGTTTAGAATAAATCTTCTCTCGATGTGTTGTAACTCACACACCAACATCGCTTTCTAGATAAAAAAATTTTCCATTTAAGAAGAAAAATACTCCTTTCTCAAAAAATTAAATATGATTAACAATGATAAAGACTTATCGTCGCCAGTAAATAATCAACCAATGTAGGAAATTAATAATCAGCGCAACCGGCAAATTCTAAGTAAAGAAATTTATTGCGAAAAATATTACCTCAGCCAGAGTTTGCACCTGGACCTCTCTACACTCTAGGCGGGCGTCTCACTCCAATTCGACCACTGAGGCATGTGGTGATATTTGTCGCAATAAGCAGTCTAATGACGATATTTTCGCGTCTATTCGTAGAACTATTCACAGTAAGAAATCGTGTGTTCAAATGTTACAATTTTTTAAAAATACTTGACACTTTATGTATGTCATTTAAAAATTGAATATTATCTTGACTTTTTTTTTACACAACTATTTCACAAAATCAACCAAAACATGTAACATCGATATTTCTTAAAATTATTTTAACTCTTTAACTCTTGACTATTATTTTAACGCTACAGTTGCAGCGGAAAGTTTTGCCGCTCGTGTAACGCTACCGTAGTGCTATAGTAGCAGTTGTCTTGCCGGAACGCGCTCATTAAAATTACACTGAAAAAAATTTCTGGTTGAATATGGACGAATCAGATAATTCCTTTAGGATTTACCAGAATTCCTTTAGGATTTACCAGAATTTCTGTAGGATTACAGGAATTCTGGTAAATCCTAAAGGAATGCTGGTAAATCCTAAAGGAATTATCTGATTCGTCCATATTCAACCAGAAATTTTTTTCAGTGTAGAGTGGATAAATTGGGACATGTAAAATGTGTTAAATTCAACACTACATTTTTTTACCATGTAGCAACAAGACCGAAACACCGAAACGTCGAAATTCCTCATTGGCCCTCGAAAAAAGAAAAAAAAACCCCCCCTTTGACTGACACCCGAGTGTCGCGCGACAATCTGTCACCGGTGCGAGATCGAGGCTTAGGTGAAGCGCAATCGCGACGGCCGTGCCGATTCTGACGACTGCAAATATAAACGTCCAGATGCATGCGTGCGCGCGTCATTGAGGGGCCGATGTGCGGCCGTGGCTGTGAATGGCGGAAGCAAGGGACTAAAGGGAGATCCGCAGAGGGGCGGAGGGAGAGGGGGGGGAGGGAGGGGCGCGAGAGAAATTTGATTTATCGGCGATTACGATCGGTGATTGGACTCTGACGGGTTCCTGTGCGTCATGCGGTGATGCATGAGCAGCGGCCGATAACGCGTAATGTCACCGTTCGCCCGGGTGACCTATGCGCCTACCCGCGAAATTACTTTGCATTAGGACCGCGGGTGATGAATACCGGGTTAAACAGCGGCCCGAGCGGCCCCCGCTAATCCGCCGAACAGCCTGAAAAATCGACGCCGAGGCCGCGCGCTTAGTATGCACAATACTCTACACCTTTTATGGCGTTCACGTGTACGCCACCTTGCCACTTGACGTGGCCGAACAATGACGGGATGTGAATTAACCCGGCGGCGGCATACTCGTATAAAAGCGGCTTATTAAAAATATAAAATAAAGCGAAAAGGAAAATTTGAAAAGGAATATAAAAATGATTTTCCTCGCAAAGGTGTGCGCGCTGTTTTTTTTTGCTCCCCTCGGTTAATATAACATCAAAGGGATCTCGCACAAAGAGTTAATTTTCTACGGTACAATTAGATTGCGTAACCATTTAACAAATGTCAGTCAAATATAAACTTTTTGATTACTTCCCAGTTAAAAATAATGTCTCGCGGTACAACGCTCACGGTTGGAAATATTTCAATGTTAACAGGATCGCATTAATATAACTGCGCAATGTTCTAAATTTGCGCAAGAAAATGTACGCGCGTTGAACCGCGAGGAGCTACATTGCCCCGCAAGTTCGCGGGCGGGAGCGAGGGAAAAAAAAAGAAAAGCGAACGCGAGAAAGCGTCACAAAAGCCTCGGCGCGCGAAGATGTAAACTGGGTTACTTGTAAAAGTGCGAGGCGATGTCGCGTGGGTAAATGAGGAATGAACTCGTATACGAATCGCAGGTCGTGCGAGTGCATTAGCGGAAGAGAGCGAAGTTTGTCGGGGAACGATCGCGGATTAATGCTCCGCCGATGCCGTAACGGCGAATTTATTTCACTTGGAGTCGCGTGATCGCGGGGATTTCCGATCGCGGGGATTTCCGCGCGCCCGCACGTACGTAAAATTTATCAACGCCAGCGCTCGCGCGAGAGAGCGCGCGGTGGAATTTGAAAAGTACGCATCGCGCAAAATAATAACATAATTGAAAATTTTGCGATAATCGAGCGAGCGCGGGCGATTTAATTTTGCGACGACAAATTTGTTGCTCTCGCTCCATTGAATCCCCTCACAATGGCGAAATTTAATCGCGAGAACTTGTTGACGCATAACCGAACGTTAAAACGTCCACCAAGCTTTGCATAATTTACGTAATAAGAAGATTAATCGGTTAATTAATTTCTTTTTTTTTCTAAAAACAGGCGCGACATCGACAGCGCAGCAAGATTATTGGCTACCGAAGGTTCGAGCAAGGTAATTCCGCGATATTTTCAATACGTTCTGTATTCTGGGCTACGTTTTACCTTTAATCTTTCCGACGGCAAATTTGTTAAAACCGTACTTGGTTGGATTACTGGAAAAGCGAATAATATTGGCACACACATACAACATTGTATCGATGGTGCGCCGATCAAGCGGATCCTTGAATAATTTCACGAAATCGAAAGCGCATCAAGCTTAGCTTTCGCGAAGAAATTAAAAAATTAGAATGCAGAAGTAGAGAAAAGTTGTATAATTGACAGGAGGATTTAAAACGCCACGTTCTGGGACTCGAAATCTTTCAAGAGCACTTCGGAGAGGGGGATGAAAGATGTGACCGATGCGATCTGGGGCGATAGAATGCATGAATATCCCGCGAAACGAGAATTATCCGCGAGATGAAAATCGTATTGCGTTGTTTAACGGACTCGCGATCCTAATCTATACTCGCGAAATACAGCGCTCCCGAACTCGGGCGCTGTTATTACAACGACGGGCTCTTGATAAGGAAACTTGGAACTTACCGCACGATCGCCAAGATTGCGCACCCTGCAGTGCAGGTAAGCGGATTGCCCGACGGTGGTTGTGGTCTCCCTCTTTGTCGTGTTGTCGAAGTAAGGCTGACTAAAGGGTTGCTCCCAGTAAGAGGACGGATGGTGCTCCACTACAGATCGTCCGTTCTTGGCCGCGCATTCTGCCAAAAACAATAAGGCTCGTTAATGGGATTTATTTGTCGACACGCTTTAATGAAATTTTGTCGCGAGGAATTATTGGATTTTGAATAAGTCTATTTTCGAAAGTCCTGAATAAACTGGATCTTTTCAGCGGCCAAAGATAGCGAAGTCCTCGACACAGTGGCGCAATTAGTCAAATTAATCGGCATCCACGGTAACATCGAGTTAAGTAAAAAGAGAATTCATGTAATATTCGAGCGCTCGGTCAGCGCAAATTAGAAATCACCAAAATGCGTAATTGGGAACGGATAGCTTAATGACATATCGATAATTGCTGGGAACCCGTGCAAATCGGATTGCGGCGCAACAATGCGATAAATTATGCGTTAACTGGCGAGACGGAATGTACAAAACGGAATTTCAAGCTGATCGAAACACGTAGTGTGATTAACTCGACGTATAAAATCTCGGTCACGTGCTTTCATAAGGAAATCGATTCTTCCCGCCCGATGATTCCCATTACCGGGGAGTTTCTGCCGAGCTTATCCGGTTGAGTTTGAAGCGACCTGAACTCTCTCTCTCTCTCTCGGCACGACTACAGAAATTCAAATTCGAAACCGTTCGAGACGAGTCGTTCGCGGACGAATGAACTCTGGTGGAACATCCCTCGGGAGTTCCACCTCGAAAATTCCCGACGCATTACAGTAAAGTACTCGCGAGGTCCCTACTGGAACGAAAATCTATGCCTAGGAATCGCGTGATTTACAAGCGGAGTGATCAAAGCCCGTTTCGCTAAGTAAAGTTACGTAAAACGTCACTCGATTCCCGGCGCTGTCTAATATCAACTTTATTACTCCTTGCGTTTGCTCCAGAGCGCGAGAGATCGCGATGGTACAGTCTGCCCTTTTTTTTTTACAAGAATCTTTTAAACAGGTCACACTTGCACCTGGACGCAAATAAATCTCTCGACAATGGAAACAGTAGTCCGAGAAGATAACGATAAAAATAAATGAAAGATACAAACTGAAAGGGATAATAATAAAATAAAACTGCTATTGGGGCGAGAAGCGTCGTCTCGTTAAAGATATTTAATAGACTTTAAGAAGGAGTTTTTCCCAGCATCCCTCCCGAATGCGGCTGTTTTTCAAAGTAACGATCTGCCGCTGTGGCGTAAAATTCATGCAACAGTCCCTCGTCAATTTTTTTCAGCCCGCGTCCCCGTCCTCCTCCAACCGCTCGCCTCACTGATTACTTTATTCCGCGAAAACGATACTCCTGGTGGCTACGTAAAACCTCCCGGGGAAGCCTTTACGTGGATTATAAGGCGAGCAGAGTGAGAAAATTTATGGGAGGGCGTCGTCAAAGAATCTTTATTCTCGTGTTGACACTCCGTGAACGGAATATTTCACGACCGCGCAATAATGAAAGCAATTCAATTGATAATTGAATTCTTCCGCGTATATCACCTAATGTATCTGAACAAGGTAAAAATTGAATTGCGCCCGTGTGCATGAAAACACGAGTGGCCGATACCTGCGTTTTGCGCGCTGTATCGTGGGGGAAAAAAAATTTCTTTCCTCTTTATTTCGTTAATACAACGATCGGCCTGTGTGTTTCGCGTGAACAATCGATTGATACATTATTCAAATTAACAATCGCGAAATTCTTCGGCTTCAAAGGGAAATCCGCTCGGAAATCCCTGACCACAGGGTCGAATCGCCGATATTCGGGCTCGCTCGAAATACCGCGTGAAGTTCCACAATGCAGCACAAAAAGCAGCCGATTCCAATCGCCGGCTGTTAATCGGGTTTTTCGCGTTGCAGCCGGTACAACGAGCCCGGGTGGCAAAAAAGGCTTAAAAACTGCAGGACGGGTCAGGGCGAGCTTGAAAGGGATGAGTTTGTTAACCCCGACTGTGCTCTTCCTTCTCCGCTGAAAGTTCGAGGCGAAGGAACTCCGGCAGGGCGAGAAAGCTTCAGGTGTTTGCTAATGGCCCGCGGCGCTGAAACCAATCATTCGTCGAGGGCCGCCTTTCTCCCCCGTTTGTTCAAACGTGACGTATTTTTTATCAGTCTCGTCAGGCGTTTGGTTTTCGTTTCCATATTAACGCGGGCCTCAAAATCCGAGCGACGAGAGCCGCGGATATTTTCCAGATATTACATTTTCGCGCGCGTGCCAGACGTTGACCTGTTTCTATTAACGTCCCCTACATTTCAAGAAAAGACACGACGCGAAGAGATTTAATTTAAAATTTCGCACACAGAACTGAACTCGGCTTACATCGAGCTGAGCTGAAAGTGTTATTTTCGGCCGAACAATGACTGACAATGAATAGCGCCCTAAGTTGCGATCGCCAAATTGGGGCAGAAGTGTCCCGGGGTGCGCACAATTGTGAAATAAATTAAAAATCTGGATAAACAATTTTCGCCTCAGTTTTCAAGTATGCTTCATTTACGGCGTAATTAAATCGTAGAAATTAAGTTTCTCGGAAGGTTTCTCTTTGATTTTCGCCAAGACGAAACTCCCCGGCCAAGTTACGGCGAGGCAGCAGCTACGGTCTGGAGCGGCGACCAAAATGCAAAAACTTGGGATATCCTAAAGTCATATCTCAACTATTTTCTCGTTACGCCGTCCCCGTCGAAACTGACGCGGCGAATGCTCGACGAAGAGGAGAAACCTACGATACAACGAAGACGGCAATGTACGAACATTCGAACGATTTGCGAGCATTCCTGAAAAACGTTGAAGGTACGGTGCTCTCGCAGAGATGAAGATAAAGCTCTATTAAAAATCAGATCGTTGCATTTACCAAAAATGTAGACGAGAACGTAAGAAAAAGAGAGAGAGAGAGAGAGAGAGAGAGTACTAAGTAGATTCGTTTGTTTAGTGCTCCAAGACCAACGCGACGCTCACTCAAATGTATTTGTTAGCTACGGGTGCAATCCGTTTGAAGAGATTACGAGACGAAGAACGCGGAGAATGTCGTCGAGGCGTCCGCTTTTCGCGAAAGTAACGCAACACTCCTCGTTGAAATCCAAGTAGCTTATGTTCCCGGCCTCTCAGCTTGTTCAGTCGCGTGGAGAACTCGAACGGGGCGATGTGTCTTCGGATTCAGGACGTGTCCCGTCGAGAGAAAAGGAGAAAGAGGGGGGGGGGGGGGACACGCACGAAATTTTTCCCACAAAATCCGGATAAAGTTGAGAGAGAAGTTTCTATTTAAGAATGCGGAGAGCGCTTGATTCTGCTCGTACTCACGTTTTATCTAGATGACATGAGTCTCATTGCGATTTTAGATTTGTCGGATGGGTCAGTTTTCGATTGAATTTTATGACGTTAGTTCGAATGTGATCTATAATTAAATATTACATAATCGAGGCATATACAGGGTATCAAAAAATGACTGAGCGTCCCATTGAATAAGCTTCAGCGTATCTTGTGTATATTTAGGTAATTATATCTCATGAGATCCAATTCTAAAAGCTTCAGTTTATTCAATGGTACGCTCAGTCTGTATTTACTGTGTCTATGGAAATAACGGACGGTTTCCTTATTTAGATCCGAATCGTCTCGGTTTACCCTACAGAGTGTCCCATGGCAAGTTGTTAAAACTAATCGGCTGTTATTTTTGAATGTACGAAGTTATATAATTAAAAAAAAAATTGCGCTGGGAAGAGGAAAGTCGGCAATTTTTAATAGGTATAAATAAAGTTTAACAAAATGTATACAGTTTATTGTAGTGAAAAGTGACAAAACTGACGAAAAATATATTAATAGTCGAGCAAACAAATTGACGATAAATATTTTCAAAGTGCGTACGGTCTCGAATAGAGGTCCGTACTGCATAAAATTATCAATAACTCTGTCAAATATTTATTTTGACAGATTACTAAAAATCGCGTGACGTAACACATAAAGTTGAATAAATAATGAATTCTTATCTTTACAGTGTATTTTCGCTCGCAACTTTGTATATTCCGTATTTGGTACGAAATCCCCTGGAGCTATTATTCACTTTCCCTTTAAAAAAGAAGGTAGATCTTTCCTTCCATAGCCAGATTACTCATTTTGACGCGCACGGACTTGCTTCTACCACAGCCGGAATAAAATTGCCGCCTTTCCTCCTTCCAGCGCAATTTTTGTTTCATTTTCAATAATTACATGCATTCGGAAATGAATACTGATTAGTTTCAGCAGCTTCGCATGGCGCACCTTGTGTATATTTAGATAATTATATCTCATGAGATCCAATTCTAAAAGTCATCAGATCCTTAGAGATTTGACACTTTCCTTGAATATTGGAAGTTATCTATAGAGATCTAACTAAATATATAATTAAATGTCCTAAGAGAACATACATGTAATTAGGTCTCACTAGAAATAACATCGAATATTCAATAAAAGTGTAATTTCTCTGAAGATTTAATGATTTTAGAATTGGATATAATTAAATATTACACGACCGAGACATATATAATGAGATATTTCCGTTGTTTCCCGGACACCAACAGAGAATTGGATAGAAGGGTGCAAAGTGTGTGAAGAATAGTGCCATGAGAAGTTTGGTGGTAAATGGCGAGATACGGGGACAAAATATTTGTGATTTATGTAACAAATAACGTCAGTTGATCCCATTGTTAAACATATCGTTTCTCTAGTTGCTTCCGAAGATTCGTTAAGAAAATTAATATTTTATGAGAGGTTTTTACGTGATCCGTTTCGCCCCTGAATTCGGGGGCGAATCGGATATTTGTCACTCTCTGTTTTCTGTTCCTAGGAGAAAAAACGTCAAGTTTATTTTCACTTTAATTCGTTAGTTTTGTAGTGCAATGTATGCCGCTTACGAATTTATGGTAAAAATGAAGCTTATAGTAAAGACAAAAATTATTCCTTTCTACCTCAAACATAAATTGATTCGCCTCGGTCTACCCTGTAATAATAACTCCTGCATAGTCGTCTCTTGAAAAAGATTACGAGGTGGCCGTTTCAGAACAATAATTAATATTGTTTGTTGTTAATAGTA